GTCATACTGTTGTGACGCCTCATAATTATTATTAATAAATAATAATTAAATTCATTATACAGACATTTAAAAATGTCATAGAAATTATAATTTAAACAATCAAATGCAAATAATAAGCATAAAGTTCAAAAATATCCATTTGGAATATTGAATATTATATATATTAGTAAACGCATAAAATGTCTCAAAAAATCTCTAAATTTATTAAAAACCTGCTTAAAATGTTCAAAATATATCAAATCATATAAATACAAGTCGATTATATTGCAATAAAACAAAGATAAATAACATTTGTAATATAATAGAAAAAATGGATAAAAATTTTCAAGTTGATGAAGGTGTTCGTGTAATAATTGGAAAATTTCTAAGTTAATGAACGTGTTCTTGTAATGTTCCCTTATATTGGGGCGTTGTCGGAGACACATACCCAAGGTTGTACATATATATGGGGTGGTCGGCTGACCGACTGCTAGTACTAAGGTTGCACAATGACTAGTCCTATATTAGGGACTTAACATAGTAAGGTCTGACGAACCAAAGCATTAATATGGAAGGTCTCTATGATGCATAAGCATTATGATAGCAGAGTTATGACTTGAAGTCCCATATGAATAAGACATACAGTAGTATGGTCTATGAAATAAAGCAAATATGTGGAAGGTCTCAAATATGTAAAAGCATTATATTGAAAGAAATGGGACTTAAAAAGGATTATTATAGTGGCGTGTAGGTTGCTTCGCAGCCTCTGAGACCGAGGTAAACTTGGACTCACTAACCGATGTGTCCTAGACATATCATCTTAGTGTCGGTGGTAAGCGGGTTTGTTGTAGCAATACGACTTGCCCGTGGACATCGCACACCCCTACCGGTTGTGGGCGGCGTCTTAGCGCATAGCGTTATGATACGTCGGCTATCTTTCGGATTAGGGTGAGTGTGTTTGGTAGTACTTTTAAGTGCAGCAAGCATACTCAACTTCATGTCTTAGTGCAATAGCGCTATGATACGTGGAGTATTGGCTACTGACGTCTTAGTACCGTACTACTATGATACGTTGGTGGTATTTTTAGTTAACAACATTATCAAATTTTGTTACCAAAGTCGATAGGGATCATGTGGGTGTGTTGTGAGGGGGCGCCATCCGTATGATAGTTGCATTGATGCTTACTGCTACTTGCAGTATTGTGTCTTGTGATGGATCTGCGGGTGTGCTGCACCTGATTCGATGCATCTTGTGGTTCTGGTCGATGGAGGTATGCGGGTGGTGATGTCTGCTGGGACTGTATGGGGGACCTTGGGATGGTGTAAGCCCGACGATAGTCGTATTGATGCTTGTTGCATTCTGTAGCATTGCGTCTCTACGATGGTTGTTTGGCGGGTCGCTATTCTCAATGGCGCTCTCTGCGTCTTGGTTTGACTCACAACCTAAATAGCTTTGCCCAAGTCGGGTCCCTTCATTGCGGGGCTGCAGACTGTCTGCCCTCCATGATGTTTTATATAACAACTTAATAATATATCTCTATAAAGTTCCCACCTTTGAAAGATTGAAGGCAACTTGTTGGTGGGTGAGACAAACATGATCGAAAAATGCATATTCTCAACGTCAGTGACACAAACCCTTTCTGATGGCGAATTATTAATATTATCTTATAACTGCCTATTGGCTATATCTGCCATTGTATTGGTTGGTGGAGCATATGTGTTGACCTCATGCGGGTGGTAGCTGGAGGGAGAATCTGAGGAGGCTCTCAAGGCTGCGGCCGAAAGCCGCGCAACGTGGGACCCCATTCCCTTGAGGTGAGCGGTAGACTCATGACACGCTCTGCGGCCAATTGGCCGTACTGACCATGCAATTGGTGGTGATGCCTTACACTTACATCACGTCTGCAGGAACGGCGGTCTGGCAGGTGGTGGCGCTCACGGAAGGCTTTTTATGGTCAGTGTGCCTATTGTTGCCTAACCCGTGTGACGTACATTTCACTGTGGCTGGATTTGATCGTATTCTGTATGGCGTTTACACGCATTGACATGCGCGACTTCGGTCGATGTTTGTGCTTACGCACTATCAAGGGGCCAAGTCCTCTTTTACTGGTTCGCCAGTTATTTTGCTGTGGACTACGGTCCAGTTCCCAACTTTGCGTACCCTTCGGGGGGAGCGCATTAAAATGGTTGGCGCTCACCGTGCGCGGCGTGTGTGGGGCCGTGTACCTCCTCCACATTTTTTTAAAATGTGGGAGAGCGAAGCCCTTGTAACTGGTATTTGATATAAATATTGTGAGCCTTTTCCAAGCGGGAAGGGATTAATTAATAAGGAATTGACTGTTGTGAACCAGATACAAGTGGAATAGGGACAATTTATTGTTCTTAACCTTTTTGAGCTCTGTCTTCGTGAACGGGGTTCTCTAGCTTATAAGACTCTACCAACAGCTTTCGATTGCTCTCGTGAATATTCATTCTTCCAAGATACACCTAAAAGAACTAAGTTACTATACAAACACAACGTAAAAAAGGGTCCTAACTAAGACGATCACGCCATAAATTTATTAAACGGCCTATATTTAAACCTTTAGAAAGATCAAGTTATACTGGTCACGTAAATTAGATATATTTATATATCTTACAGATATAGATTCTAAAGAAATACAAGTATAAGTGGATATATAGTAGAAGAGAAAAAAGATGGGGGGGGGGGGGTTCGTTACAATTTGGGGCCGTGACCAGGATGGAGGTTAAATTTTAAATAGGAGGCCGGTAATATAAAATTATGAGGTAGGCTATATGCCTACAATTTGTTGTCCGTGAAATGGAGAGGTGTCTTGGAGAGTGGTGTTTGCTGGGGGTGGTTGAGAGTCTGGGGGTGGGGCTTAAATATTAAAATTGAGTAATAATATAGGAGGTGTGTGCATAACGGAGCGAAATAATAAAAAGTGAAATAAGTGGAAAGACTCAATTAAACTAAGTGAAAGACACAAAAGGTGTAAAAAAAAAAAAAAAAAAAAAAAAAAAAAAAAAAAAAAAAAAAAAAAAAAAAAACTGCAATACTATATATTATAAAGTGAAATAAGTGGAAAAACTCAATTAAAGTAAGTGAAGGACGCAAAAAGTGTAAAAAAAAAAAAGTGGAAATAATACTTAAAATGGCTAAAAATAAGAAAAAATCAACCTCAATTAAGGCTAAGCCTAAAGATGAGATGAAAATGCTTCAGAAATTAATTAAGAATGCAGTGAAAACCTTTGAGGTTAAAATAAAGGATCTTGAGGAAAAATTTATTAACCAAACGAAAGATTACCAAATTAAAATAAATCAAGGAGAGGTGTCCGGGGCGAGCACCTCTCATGTAAATGATCCTAGACAAAATATTGTATATAATGTACATAATGTAACAATAGAAAAGCCGAAATTTGGAAATGGAAATACTCATCCAGTATCATTTTTGGAAGATCTCACCAATTATTTAAAGAAAGTTCCATCTAATGGTCTCGAAATTTCGATAGCACAAGAGTGCTTAGTAGGTGAAGCCAAGTATTGGGCTCGCATTAATAATGTGCGTTGGACAACTTTTGATGATTTTAAAGCTGACTTCCTAAGAGTGTTTTGGGGTGAAGAAGAACAAAATAAAGTAAAGAGATTCCTTGTGCAAAATAAATGGAATAGAAGTACTCACCCCACCATGGTTAGTTATTTTCTTTATGTTGTTGAGAAGGCACAAACATTATCATATCCGATACCTGAAAAACAATTAGTAACTGATGTCATCAGACATTATCCTAAAACTGTGCAGCAATTATGGAGAATAGCTAAAATTGAGACAATAATAGACACGACAGATTTCTTAAGAAACTTAGATGACATCGACAAACAAGATGAAGGTCGTGAACCTTACTATAATGAGAAAAGGAGGAAGTTTAATAATAATACGGAGCAAAAACATAAAGAAATACAACAATCATACAAAACATGGCGTAAACCCGAAGAGGGAAAAAAGAAGGTTAATGAAGTACATGAAATACATTTCACTAATGACCAACCTGATGTTACGGCCCCTGAGCCAAATTTAGAGCTGTAGAGTTCGAACTAGTTCCCGATTCGACCCCTTACAATGTAAAAGGGAACAAAGCATTAAATATGTTATTAAAACTGGGTTGGCGACCTGGTCAAACATTGGGTAAAAACAATAGAGGGTTGCGAAAACCTATTACTTTAAAAGCAAATTTTAACAGAGAAGGCCTTTGTTATAACGACAATGTAAATAGCATATTAAACACCTTAAAAGTCAGGTCGGACTTGCCCATAACGGAGTTATTCGTGCAAACCGTCTTCGAGGAAGACGAAGATAAATATCAAAGGGAATTTATAGGGAATATGAGATCTGAAATTAAAGTTTCAATATTTGACAAAGAAATAGACGCGCTCCTCGACACTGGGAGCGATGTTACATGCATTTCAGAAAGTTTATATTTACAAATTAAAGATAATAATCGTAAAATATCAATAATGCCAGTTAAAGCAATGCAAATAAAAGGTGCTGTTGGGCAGCGCAGCACAAAAATACAACAGATGATCATATTGCCTATAAAGATAGATGAAGTAGTCTTTGAAACACAAACTTTAATTGTAGGTAATTTAATAAGACCTTTAATATTAGGCTTTGACTGGCTCAAGAGAAATAAAATATTGATTGATTTGAGAAATACTACTGTTGGAATAGAATTTAAAGTGAAAAACAAAGACTACTTTATACCTTTCAAATATAATAATAAATCTGTATTACATAATTAACTGCATCAAACAATGTACCGATGATCCCTTAATAAATATAAAAATAGGATCTACATTGGAGGTCTCTGAAAGGGCAAAACTTAGTAAGGTTTTGGAAAAGCATAAGAATATGTTTTCGAGCAAATTGGGAAGAGCCAATTGCTATGAGCATAAAATTGAAATGATCGATGATGAACCTATAGTTACTAGGTCCTATCCCATTCCATATGCATATAGAGCGAAAATGGAAGAAAAGTTAAATGAAATGGAACAAGCTGGTATCATCACAAGGACATCAACGCCTTACAGTAGTCCATTGACATTCACTCTTAAAAAAGACGGCTCAATTAGAGTTCTGCTTGATGCCAGAAGCATAAATAAGAAAATGATTGCAGAAACAGAGAAACCACCTATACAATTAGATGTTTTGAATTCATTTCACGGAGCGAATTATATCACTACCATTGACTTAAATAATGCATATTTTCAAATTCCGATAAATAAAGATGGTAGAAAATATACTGGATTCACATTCAATGGAAAGTCATATGTATATAATGTTTTGCCGCAAGGATTAAAAACATCAGTAGGAAGCTTTAGCAGAGCCATGAATTTAATATTAAGACCAGAAGTCCAAGAATTTTGTGTGAACTATTTAGATGATCTAGCCATTATTACAACAGGAACGTTAGATAAACATTTGGAGCACATTGATATTGTTTTAAGTAAATTGAACAAAGCTGGCTTAACGTGTAACTTGCAGAAATGTGAATTTATTTGTAAAGAAATTAAAATGCTGGGTTTTATAATTTCAACAGAAGGCATAAAGACAGATCCCGATAAGATTCGAGCGATCCAAGAGTTTCCAGCACCTAAAAAGATTAAACAATTAAGGGCCTTTTTAGGTCTATGCAATTTTTATAGAAGGTTTATACCAAATTACAGCGAGAGCATAATACCGCTCTGTGAATTACTTAAAAAGGGACGAAAGTTCCAATGGAGCGGTAAAGAACAGAAGGCATTTGATTTTATAAAACAACAATTTATTAATACAATACAATTGCATCATCCAGACTTTAATAAGCCGTATTATTTACAAACAGATTGTTCCGGTGTGGGTATGGCCGGAGTACTATATCAGATAGATGATAATAATGAAATGAGAATTTTAGGCTATAATAGTAAAGCCTTAAAAGGCCCCGAATTAAATTGGTCTGTTACTGAACAAGAGTTTTATGCTGTAATAAGCTGCCTAAAGAAATTTGAAACATATTTGAGGGGCAGTAAAGTAATAATACTAACTGATCATAAAGCATTATTGTTTATTAATAATATGAAGTTATTCAATGGTAGAGTAACCCGATGGATTTTGTATATAGAACAATTTAATTATGAAGTACAGCATATATCGGGTAGACGTAATATTGTTGCAGATGTGCTATCACGTTATCCTCCTGATGGCGATTTAATACAAGAGGATAAAAATAATAGTTTAGAAATTGCTTACACAGAGAGCGAACCGAATATTGAGTTGATAGAAAAATTAAAATCCTTACCAGTATATCAATTACAAGATTCAGAGTCGTTGGCTATTATTGAAAAGTTAAAGACATTAAATACTTCCATAATAAAACAAAACAATAAATTTAAAAGATATAGTTTGAAAAATGATGTATTATATTACAAAAAGAAATTAACAAGAAGTAATATATTTACCTAAAGCATTGAGACAAGATATTATAAATCAAGTGCATGTCGAAATGGGTCATCAAGGACCCTATAAGGTAATTAAATATGTGAGAGACAGATTCTTTTGGAAAGGTTTAACAAAAGATATTAAAAACCAATTAAGGGCTTGTCATTTATGTCAGTTATCTAAGAAAAGCAATATAACATAGGCAGGGACCCAGCAAATCTATAATAACAGAAAACATTGGCGATATAGTCATGGCAGGCTTATATGGACCACTTGTATCAGGTACCTTTGGGTACACTTTCATATTTGTCATTCAAGATTCATTCAGTAAATTTATCAAATTATATCCTTTAAAACAGTCAACAGCAAAGTCTGTTGTAACAAAAGTAAAGCATTTTGTTGAGATTATAAAGCCCAAGGCAATAATGACAGATAATGGAAAACAGTTCGTAAGTAATCACTGGAAACAATCAATGAGTGAATTAAATATAAAGCCAATATATACCACAGTTAGAAATCCTAGACCAAATACAACAGAGCGAGTAAATAAAGAGTTGAGCAGATTATTTAGAACGCTTTGTCATACTAACCACAAAGATTGGGCGTTAATATTGCCGAAATTAGAAGAATTGTATAATAATTCTTATCACAATAGTACAGGCTTCACACCTCGTGAGATTCTTTATGGTGAGTCTAATGAGATGTCTTTTGACAAAGTAATTTCCAAAAGTAAAGACAAACATAATGTCGAACAAATTAGACAACAAGTGCGTAAAAATTTAAAAGAGGCAAGTCGAATAAGAAACACAAAATTTGATAAGCGAAATAGATTAATAAAATATAATATTGGTGACTTAGTAAAAATTTTAAGATCTAGTAGATCAGACGCTGATAATAAAGTTATGAGTAAGTTCAATTTGGCATATGAAGGACCTTATGTAATAGCAGCCGTACCATTTGACAATGTATATACCTTAGCAAATCCAGAGACAAACGAAATTAGAGGAATTTTCAATGCTGTTCACTTATTAAAATATTTTAAATAATAATTTCTTTTTGTATAAATTAGAGTAATTAAATAAATATTGTAACATAAAAGGGTTTTGTGGGTGGCCCATGGAAATAATTGTTTAAGTTAAAGGTCTAAAATTATTAAAGTTATGAGCAAGAGATTTGTTATATGATAGTAGAACGTTATTAATATATAATGAAGAGTTGTAAATATGGATCGTAAGATAATTTTGTAATCATTTTTATTAAATAAATATGGGAGTTGGGTCAGGGTGAATGGCTCAATCACATTTATCCTATGTGGTATCGAACTGACCTCAACAAACATCCAACTGGATTGTATGCTCATAAAGTGTGACACTATCGAAATAATGTTTCAAAGATTTAAAGATAAATTAATAAAATAAGAAATCGACAATTGACTGCAAACTTTATTAACAACACGATATACAATAACTTGAATTATGGTGTTATCACAATGTGATAATTGTGGTTGAAGGGGTGTTGGTGGCGGCCATTCTCTAGGGCAGGGGGATTTGATAACATATGCCGTATTGTAACAGATTAAAAGAGGAAGGAACAGATATATAAACAATTATTTGAGTGTAGTGTATATGCTCTCAAAATACTAAAATTTTATATTAACGACTCCACTATGTGGATCATTAACATAACATTTGGGGGTGGATTGTGACGCCTCATAATTATTATTAATAAATAATAATTAAATTCATTATACAGACATTTAAAAATGTCATAGAAATTATAATTTAAACAATCAAATGCAAATAATAAGCATAAAGTTCAAAAATATCCATTTGGAATATTGAATATTATATATATTAGTAAACGCATAAAATGTCTCAAAAAATCTCTAAATTTATTAAAAACCTGCTTAAAATGTTCAAAATATATCAAATCATATAAATACAAGTCGATTATATTGCAATAAAACAAAGATAAATAACATTTGTAATATAATAGAAAAAATGGATAAAAATTTTCAAGTTGATGAAGGTGTTCGTGTAATAATTGGAAAATTTCTAAGTTAATGAACGTGTTCTTGTAATGTTCCCTTATATTGGGGCGTTGTCGGAGACACATACCCAAGGTTGTACATATATATGGGGTGGTCGGCTGACCGACTGCTAGTACTAAGGTTGCACAATGACTAGTCCTATATTAGGGACTTAACATAGTAAGGTCTGACGAACCAAAGCATTAATATGGAAGGTCTCTATGATGCATAAGCATTATGATAGCAGAGTTATGACTTGAAGTCCCATATGAATAAGACATACAGTAGTATGGTCTATGAAATAAAGCAAATATGTGGAAGGTCTCAAATATGTAAAAGCATTATATTGAAAGAAATGGGACTTAAAAAGGATTATTATAGTGGCGTGTAGGTTGCTTCGCAGCCTCTGAGACCGAGGTAAACTTGGACTCACTAACCGATGTGTCCTAGACATATCATCTTAGTGTCGGTGGTAAGCGGGTTTGTTGTAGCAATACGACTTGCCCGTGGACATCGCACACCCCTACCGGTTGTGGGCGGCGTCTTAGCGCATAGCGTTATGATACGTCGGCTATCTTTCGGATTAGGGTGAGTGTGTTTGGTAGTACTTTTAAGTGCAGCAAGCATACTCAACTTCATGTCTTAGTGCAATAGCGCTATGATACGTGGAGTATTGGCTACTGACGTCTTAGTACCGTACTACTATGATACGTTGGTGGTATTTTTAGTTAACAACATTATCAAATTTTGTTACCAAAGTCGATAGGGATCATGTGGGTGTGTTGTGAGGGGGCGCCATCCGTATGATAGTTGCATTGATGCTTACTGCTACTTGCAGTATTGTGTCTTGTGATGGATCTGCGGGTGTGCTGCACCTGATTCGATGCATCTTGTGGTTCTGGTCGATGGAGGTATGCGGGTGGTGATGTCTGCTGGGACTGCATGGGGGCCTTGGGATGGTGTAAGCCCGACGATAGTCGTATTGATGCTTGTTGCATTCTGTAGCATTGCGTCTCTACGATGGTTGTTTGGCGGGTCGCTATTCTCAATGGCGCTCTCTGCGTCTTGGTTTGACTCACAACCTAAATAGCTTTGCCCAAGTCGGGTCCCTTCATTGCGGGGCTGCAGACTGTCTGCCCTCCATGATGTTTTATATAACAACTTAATAATATATCTCTATAAAGTTCCCACCTTTGAAAGATTGAAGGCAACTTGTTGGTGGGTGAGACAAACATGATCGAAAAATGCATATTCTCAACGTCAGTGACACAAACCCTTTCTGATGGCGAATTATTAATATTATCTTATAACTGCCTATTGGCTATATCTGCCATTGTATTGGTTGGTGGAGCATATGTGTTGACCTCATGCGGGTGGTAGCTGGAGGGAGAATCTGAGGAGGCTCTCAAGGCTGCGGCCGAAAGCCGCGCAACGTGGGACCCCATTCCCTTGAGGTGAGCGGTAGACTCATGACACGCTCTGCGGCCAATTGGCCGTACTGACCATGCAATTGGTGGTGATGCCTTACACTTACATCACGTCTGCAGGAACGGCGGTCTGGCAGGTGGTGGCGCTCACGGAAGGCTTTTTATGGTCAGTGTGCCTATTGTTGCCTAACCCGTGTGACGTACATTTCACTGTGGCTGGATTTGATCGTATTCTGTATGGCGTTTACACGCATTGACATGCGCGACTTCGGTCGATGTTTGTGCTTACGCACTATCAAGGGGCCAAGTCCTCTTTTACTGGTTCGCCAGTTATTTTGCTGTGGACTACGGTCCAGTTCCCAACTTTGCGTACCCTTCGGGGGGAGCGCATTAAAATGGTTGGCGCTCACCGTGCGCGGCGTGTGTGGGGCCGTGTACCTCCTCCACATTTTTTTAAAATGTGGGAGAGCGAAGCCCTTGTAACTGGTATTTGATATAAATATTGTGAGCCTTTTCCAAGCGGGAAGGGATTAATTAATAAGGAATTGACTGTTGTGAACCAGATACAAGTGGAATAGGGACAATTTATTGTTCTTAACCTTTTTGAGCTCTGTCTTCGTGAACGGGGTTCTCTAGCTTATAAGACTCTACCAACAGCTTTCGATTGCTCTCGTGAATATTCATTCTTCCAAGATACACCTAAAAGAACTAAGTTACTATACAAACACAACGTAAAAAAGGGTCCTAACTAAGACGATCACGCCATAAATTTATTAAACGGCCTATATTTAAACCTTTAGAAAGATCAAGTTATACTGGTCACGTAAATTAGATATATTTATATATCTTACAGATATAGATTCTAAAGAAATACAAGTATAAGTGGATATATAGTAGAAGAGAAAAAAGATGGGGGGGGGGGTTCGTTACACTGTGTACAGAAAAAAATACCCATACCAACCGATATTTAAATGGTGAATCTCACCATCATCCTTCACAGTTAGCTACCGTGGGAAAATCTTTGTTTCAGAGAGCACGAGGGATCTGTGACAGAAAACATCTGGCCGCCGAGCTTCAGCACGTCGAGCAAGTACTGCAAGACAACAAGCTTCGGGTCCCGCGCCTACGTCACAGTGACCGAGTGAAGCCAGCCACAGTCGAGCGTGTGCCTGCTGTACTACCCTATGTCAGAGGAGTCACAGACAAGGTTGGCTACATCTTGAAGCGAGCTTCCATTAAAACGTACTTCAAGCCGCTGAAGAAGATTGGTCAATTTTTACCATCCGTCAAGTGTCATATCCCTCTACAAGATGCAGGAGTGTACAAGCTGGATTGTGAATGTGGTCTCTCGTACATAGGACAAACAAAAAGATCTATTAAAACCCGCGTTAAAGAACATATAGCTGACGTGAAGCACCGACGTATCGGGAAGTCTGCAGTTTGTGAACATGTTCAGGATCGTCCCCGTCATTACATTAGATTTGATAGACCACAAATCCTCGCAAAAGAACACCGATTCCTCCCAAGGATGATTCGCGAGGCTATTGAAATTAAAAAACATCCTAATT